GCATTTCTTCATATGTTTGTTGGCCGCTTGAATATCCTCCTTGGTGAAGTGTCTATTCATGTCTTCTGCCCATTTTTTAATTGGATTGTTTGTCCCTGTATTATTTCTTATAATTGCATGCGAATCAATCATTATCTCAAAATAAAAAATTAAAACAAGTGTCTATCTTAAAGCTAACTATAATAATAAATACCACCATTTATTGATTGCTAACTTTCTGCTAGATGCTATTCTAAGCACTATGAGGTGAACACTATTGTTAACCACATTTTGTAGGTGAAGAAATTGAGGCACAGAGATGGTAAGTCACTTACCTAGGGTCACCCAAATGTAGTGGAACTAGCATTCAGACCCAGGCAGCATCCAAAGAGAAAGCTTTTAATCATCTTGCTATGCTTCTTGTATATCTGTCTTCATATCCTGCTTCCTAGTCACTCTTGAATCCACTGTAATCACTCTTCTGAAACTGCTTTTACCTGGATCACCAAAAACTCAGTTGCCAAATCTAATATTTCTTTTGGTCCTTACCATTCTTTCTTTAGCCTTTGATACTGTTCATATACTCAACATATATTTTATTGAGCACCTACAATGTGTCAAACTTTGTTTGGCAGCAGTGAACAAGCAAATAAAACTGTTATAACTGAAGAATACATATAACTTTGCTTGTTAGCATTAAACTCAAAACCAAACTCACTGCCATCAAGTTGATTCTGACTCACAGCAACCCTCTTTGAGTTTCCAAGGCAGTAAATCTTTACAGAAGTAGTCTGCCTAGTCTTTCTTCAGCGAATGGCTGGTGGGTTTGAACCGCCAACCTTCTGGCTAGCAGTCAAATGCCCTAGGCACTACTCCACCAGAGCTCCTTTTGTTAGCATTAGGGGGCCAGAAATCTTCATTTATATTTCCACTCATCACAGCTGACTTGTTTGTGGAAGACCAACAGGCCACTTTATTACTGTATGCTTTTGTTTTTTTTGTGGCTAAAATAAGGGTCATATTGTTATTTTTGTGTGTGTGGTTTCACACCATAAGTCAGAAAAGAATATATTTAGATACCATTTTTAACTTTTCCCCAGATAGAAATCTGAATGTTTCCAAGCAATTGTCATGAATATGAATGAATTAAGAGAACCAAGTCCTGAATATACTACCTTTTTTATATACAATTATTAAAGGTGAATTGTGAAAAGTAATTACCTTTGACCTTTTATGTGCTTTTCTCTGTATGAGGAAAATTTGAATTAAATTCATGCCCCTCTTTTGGAAACACTAAGAAGATCTCTGCAGAAGATTAAATCCATTTAATTCCATATGCCCAAATAAAAAGCTAATCCAAGGAAAATACTTGACCTCATGGAGACATGGTGGTAGCTTTTTGCATATCACCAAAGCTAAGAATTTGAGCAAGAATAGAAGGGAAAGAGTCATCTTTTCTTTTTCCACATGCCCATGGTTATTCTGCGTGTTTTCATTCCTTTCCCCAAATTCCATAAAGAAGAAAGAAAGAAGAAAAAAACCTCTCCTGCTTCTTCATGCCAAGAAACAACTCTTGTTTTATTAGTTCTAATGGGAATGTGTTTTGCTTGATGATTGGAAGCAACTATAATCCACTTGCTTACATCTCAAGTTACTGTTTTTGTCTGATAGCTGTTTGTTTACCACAGCAGTTAGCAATTTGCATGGACAGTGCTGTCAAAGCCATTGCCCTCAATGAAACACAAATGCCTCTTGGAAGAAAGATGACAGATTTAGCCCAGTGATGTGTAAAGCTTTAAAAGCAATCCCATGTCAAACACGTGAAAAACAACTCTTCCCTCTCTATGACTTAAGGAAAAAAAACGAGAAACTATCATATACCAGATGGCGATTCCTTGCTAGTAAAACAGGCCTGGGCTGACTCAGCCTCATGCTTTTGTGTTCCTTTTGCAAAACCCACAAAGAGCACATTTGGGGCCACTTTTGAGAGTTGGCAACAGTCTCTGCTTTTTAAGGAAATCATATGGACACACAAAGCTGCGATCGATGAAGGACTAGGAATCCCCAAGGTCCAGAAATGGGATACGTAGGGCTTACATTCTAGGTCATCAGTTAGATTTTGGCCTGGACACAAGAGTCATCCCAATTGTTGCCAGATTTGATTACTTGATTGAATTTGGTTAAAACAAAAACAAATTGGGGAAAGTTTATATTTTTTTTTTGTTGACTAAATCTCTTCTTCAAAAAAAAAAGGAGGAGGAGTTATCTCCCTTAGTTGATCATTTTGTTAGATTTCACAGAGAAGCTAAAAATTACAAAAATATCTTTTGAGGTAGTGAGGTGATAAAATAATTCCTAAGTTTCAAATCACTATTGATATGAAGGATGTAATCTTTAATTTTTAGCCCAGCACCTTTCTCTAAGATTTACATGTAAGGTATATCTCTTTTTATTTATTTAGAAATTATTTAGAGAGAAGTTGGAATTAGTGAAGAGGAATTATATGTATGTATGTTTTCTTAATAACCTCAGCTTTTTTGAGATGGAATAGTTGCCTCAGAACATAATAAAACCCTCCCACTGAGGATGTTGAAGCAGCATCTGGCCAGGTACTTGCTAGGGATATTGTGAAGAAGATTTAAACATTAGACTGGTAATCATATTTGTTAACTTTTAAGGTTTCCTCAGTAACCTGTACAATTCTATGGATCATTAATCAGAACTAAGCCCCCTTCACCTTTCTTTCCTTGGATTACTTTGGTTTGGAAATTTTTTTTTTCAGTCATTTCAGATAATACCTGTTGTCCGTTTAGTTTTGTCTCATATCCATGAAACATTAACCACCTTTATTACCGTTCTGTCTTATTTCTTTAGGTGTCTGAACATACGCAATTAAGTTGGATCCTTACCTGCATGGTCAGACTACCCCGATTGCAGCACTTACACCAGTGGAAGGTAAATGCCAGAGGTCTGATTAATACACAGAAAAGAGTGCAATTTCCCCGTTACAGCTGTTTTTCCCTTTCTGTTTATTTTTGTGCTAGGCCCTGGGAATTAATCCTGAGCTTATTGTCCTCCCCAGTCTGCAGCTCACCAGTGGCCTGGAACAGTGCCTTTAACCTCTGTGCTTCAGGGTATGGGACAGAAAGTAAAAGAGTTCTCCAAGGGTCCTTTCAACTTAAAACTCTTACTAATTGTTTTGATCTGTGTATGGTTGAATCAGAGTCATCTTTGGATTGACTTGTTACTAACTTTGAACCTACCACATGATAACAAACAAACCATCCCCAGTTTCTGGTTTACTGGATCCTACAGTTGCCTCTGGTAGCATAGTGCCTAAGGTACTTGACTGCTAACCACAAGGCTGGCGGTTCAAACCCACTAGCCACTCCTCGGAAGGAAGGTTGGGCAATCCTACTTCCGTAGTGATACTGCCTCGGAAACCCAAGGAGGGGTCGCTATGAGTCGGGGCCGACTCGACGGCAAATAACAACAACAGCAACAACAGTTGCCTCCTATCTCCACTGGAATTAACTGGCAGTGAAGCAAGAATCTTTTCATTGTGGGGAGAGACGACATATTTTATTTAACATGTAAGCAAGTTGAGTCCAGGCAACAGTTCAAATCCACAGAAAATTAAGACTACTTTTTCTGGAAGATCAACTGAGAAAGATAAATTGGATAATTCATAGTACTTTACTTCCATTTATTTTTGCAATTGGATAACCCAAGGGTAGGTAGCCCCTTACTACATCAACACTAATTTCAGTTTCAAGCTTTTTTTGAGCACATTTTTAGGGCCTTTGGTTTCCTCAAAGCTTCAGAAGCCTTTGCATACACTGCAGAGAGAAACAAACTGAACTTAAGGTGGCAGCACCTAAATGAGAGGGATCAGTAATGCTGCAGAGTCATTATTTGCCAAGAATTAAAAGCAAAATTTTACAATGTTCTCTATCATATTTTGGTTTTACTCAAGACTTTCCCTTTACCATAATCCTCTAATACAGAGTTCAGTGCTGAAGTCCTGTCTTATAGGAACTGAGTATTAATTTAATGAGAACTGTTCCCACTTTAAAATAGTGTCTGAGGCCCTCTTGATAATGCATTACGAGTGAGTGCCCTGATATTCCAGAGAAACCTTCCCACTGGTCCACAATTAGGTATTTTTGGGAAAAGTATGGATTTTTTAAGTCCAAGTCTCATACTTGGGCAAGTTATGCCTTGTAGACTGATTCCCTTAATAACAAGTACTAATGATGCCTTCCGGGAGTCTTACATCAAGACCAAAAGGTCAGTAAGACAAAGATAACTCCCATGAGGCTTATTGTCTATTTGGGAAAAGACAATTAAACAAGTAATAAGAAAGTGTGAGAAGTGCTCTGATGGAAGAATTCCAGTGCTAGGGAGAACTGGGTAAGAGCATTTAGCTTGGTTTTAATTGGAGCAGAAATAGTGGGGTAGAATAGTGGGGTTAGGGTTGTTGAGGGCAGGGTTATTTGGAGGATTAGTGAGATAATACCCTATGCAAAACATCTGAGGCCCATAATAAGCACTCACTAAATATTAGTGTTCTCCAAATCTCTTCCCTTCCCTTGTAATATCAAGATCCAGTAGTCTAATATTAAGGAGCTCTAGTAGTACAGTGGTTAAGGCATTTGGCTGCTAACCAAAAGGCCAGTGGTTCAAACCCACCAGCCACTCCATGGGAAAAAGAAAAGGCAGTCTGCTTCCATAAAGATTTAAAGCCTTAGAAACCCTATGGGACAGTTCTACTCTGCAATTTCAAGGTCCAGTAGTGTAGTATTACCCACTGCCATTGAGTCAATTTTAATTCATAGCAACTCTATAAAGACTATAAATGTAACATGGTAATAATTTCTTTAAGTTGGTTATTTTCCCATTTGATTATTTCCAAATTAAACCATCACAATCTTTACCCAGTAATAATCGCAAAAATAGCCCTTATTGTTGGCATTGCAATAAGGGAATATACTGAAGGAATTGTAGGTTGAAACTTTCAAAGTTCCTTTGAATGGCCTATAACATTAGTTGCTGTAAGCCAGAAACTACTTGAGATATAACCAGAATATTGAAATTTGTAACTAAATTATGAAACATTAAAGTTAAAACAGTTAAAAAGGTAAGCTATTGCTTTTTCAAACTAGTCTCAAAGGATATGCCTGCATGTTGATGGGTGAAACCTGAATTACAAGCTCATACATTGACCCCTTTGAATTGTGCAAGTTTATAAAGTTAGTCGTTCAGCTCATTTAGAAACATCAGACTTCAGAGAAGTAATTCATACTAACTAAATGAATCAAATTTATTTACTGACCAATTGTTCTGGTAGTGTAATGGTTAAAGCACTTAGCTGCTAACCAAAAGGTAAGCAGTTCAAACCTACCAGCCACGCCCCTGAAGAAAGATGGGACAGTCTACTTCCATAAAGATTTGCAGCCTTGGGAACCCAACGAAGGTTGCTATGAGTTGGAATCAACTTGATGGCAGTGTGTTTAGTTTTTTTTTTTTTAGTTTTGGAAGCAATTACCAATAAACTATACAATATTCCCTTCTAATAAGTGACTCAGAAAATCAAAGTACATGTCAGTAATGCTTATCTGCAGCAAGGGGTTAGTATCACCAGGGCTCATAGTCACTTGGTACATGTGAGTAGTTTATATCGGTACCCACTCTTCAACAGGTTAATATTTCGAATATCACTTCTGGTTCTCCATCAGCTTCTCCACTCAGGAAGTATTTTAGTCTACATACCCTGTACTATTCATTAGAATTACTTTACCAGCACTGCTTCTGCATTCTTAATCACCTAATCATCAAGATAGATAATTATGATTGCTTCTATTAAAATTTCTCTGACTTCAGTTCTATTTTCAAAATTTCTTTTTTTTCTTTTTTTTAAGAAATTTTAAGAGAACATTCCAGTTTTATCAATAGTACAGATGTGAGACTTTTCTGGGAGGCTTCCACAGACAAACAGCATGGCTTTTAATGTTAACTCATATTAATTTCTAATGGGTGATATTTTCTGACCTTACTTGTGAAATCTGGACCATATCTGATTTAGAACCTGGAAGTCCTCTATTCTTCTGTTCTTAAAATAAATAAATGGGAAATAGTGGCGGTGCCGGATCCTTTAAAGGGGCGGTGATAAAACGAATTCACCTTATTCCTGCCTAAGCCTGGAGAATGAAGACAAGCCCACCAGAGGATGGTTCCAATGGTTCCACCACCACCACCACCAGATGCCATTGAGTCAGTTAGGACTCATGGCAACCCCATACATGTCAGAGTAGAACTGCACCCCATGGGTTTTCAGTGGCTGATTTTTCATGGAAGTAGATCACCAGGGCTTTCCTCTGAGATACTTCCGAGTAGGCTTGAACCACTGACCTTTCAGTTAGCAGCTAAGTTAACCATTTACACAAACCAGGTACTCTGAGAGGATGGTTAAAATTGCTAAAATTAACAGACATACACAGATACTTCAGATTATGTTTTGCTTGTTTTAAAACTGTCTTACTTTAGCAAAATAATTCAGTTCATGTTTGATTTCTTTCTCTTCTCTTTTTCACCACCTTTCACTCCCACCCCAGGCTAAGACTGCCAATCAGAAACACGACGGAACTATGGGCCTGCTCACATACCCAGTACTTCAGGCGGCTGACATTCTGCTGTACAAGTAAGCAGAAGAGTTTCCCCACAGCCCTGTACACACTCACGAGAACAAGAGACTGTTGTAACTTATCTGAAAAAAACTTGGTTCACAAGGATGCAGGACAAAAACGGAATCAGATGAGTGAATCAGTTTGCATCTATTCCGCAGCAATAGGTACCAAATTATAGGGATATGTTTCAGTGTGAAAGTAATAATGTTGAGTGCTAACACTTCAATAGCACTTACTATGTGCGAGACACCAGTATAAATGCTTTACATGTGTTAGCCCATTTAATACTCCCAACAACCTTATACAATCTATACTATTATTATCCCCATTTTACAGATGAGAAAACTGAGACACAGAGTGATAAGTAACTTGCCCAAGATTGTGTAGCTCATAAGGTTTGGAATAAGAATTTAAGCCCAGGAAGTTTGGGTACAGAATCTGTGCTCTTAACCACTATGCCATATATAGTTCCCTAGTAATAATTCAAAGAAGCCCTAGTGGCACAGTGGTTAAAGCACTCAGCCACTAACCAAAAGGTCAGCAATTGAACTCACCAGTTACTCCTTGGGGGAAAGATGTGGCAGTCTGCTTCCATAAAGATTTATACCCTTGGAAACCTATGGGACAGTTCTAGTCTGTCCTGTAGCGTCACTATGAGTCAGAATTGACTTGATAGTAATGAGTTTAGTAATAATTAAACTCTAAGCATTTTGTTGGGTTTTTTTTTTAACAGTAAGTGCTGTAAATGTTGATTTCTTATTCAGTCTAGACTCTAAAGCACTGCTATCCAATACAATGTGCTGCACTTATGTTTAATAGCTGTGCTTTCTAAAACGGTAGCTACTATGTTAAGCCCTTGAAAACTTGAAATGTGGCTAGTAGCTACCATATTGTAACTACCGGTCAAAAGTGTGTTTTTCAACCTGCTATAGGATACTCCTTGAAAGGAAGATTGGGCAATCTACTTCCATAGAGATACCGCCTCAGAAACCCAAGGAGGGGTCGCTGTGAGTCAAATCAACTCGATGGCAATGAGTTTGTATAGGATACCCTCACTGTTCCTGGACCCATAATCCATCTAGTCAGCTACTACTGCCATTTAAAAGTCTCAAAAATAAACAACTAAAAGATGCTGATCCCTGTGCTTTCTGCAGCCCAGGATTTTTGACTCCATCCCTCTCCCAACTCTTACCCTCTGTCCCTACACTGGTCTTCGTGGGCCCTGATTGTCCTACTAGAGCTAAACGTAGCCAGTCAGAAAGTGCTAAGAAACCTAAGCCTTGCTGTAAAAGCTTCTGAGGAAAAAGAGAAACCTCGTGAATCTTTTCTTAAGCCTTTCTCCTTAACCCTTGACCCAGCAAGAGCAATTCTTCCCAGGACAAACTAGAATTCTTTATATGTAGAATGATAATAACATGGAGATGACAATATTTGTCCCTTGTGGCATGACCTCTAAGGCCTGTGCAATGATGATGAAAGTAGCCAGATTAGCAGTTTAACTTTCTAAATAAGGTGTGCCCTTGAGTATTTACTGTCTTTAATACTGATTAAAACTTATAAATAAAGATTATGTTTTACTTTGTAACTTGAGTGCTGAATTTTGATGCTGTGTCCAACTCATAATGACTATATAGGACAGAGGAGAACTGCTTGATAGGTTTCCTAGGCTGTGAATCTTTATGGGAGCAGATTGCCAGGTCTTTTCTCCCATGGAGCTGCTGGTGAGTTCACACCTTAGACCTTTTGGTTCACAACTAAGCGCTTAACCATTGCACCACCAGGGCCCCTGAACTCTTGATAGCATTGACTATTTATAGGTGATTTTTTACTTTTCCTGGGAAGTCTAGGATACTTTTCTTGTGGATGTAACAAATAAAAGCCTAATGCTACATTTCCTAGCAAAGTAGTATATTTAGTTAAAAGTCAAAGCTATGAAGAACCTTGATTTTCTCATGTATAAAATAGGGATATTAATTATTCTGCACAGGATTATTAAAGTATTAAAATGAAAATGGGCAGTGCTTGTGACTGGGATCTATCCCTCGGGTATGATCAATGATTATATCTTTGGTGATTGTAATCTTATGTTAGTTTTGTTTTCAAGGCCTACTTCTTTATAGAATCAAAGGCTGAAATTTTTCAGCACTAGAATATGGAAGCACGTGAGCACGGTAGATTCCCTGAACTGTTCAAGAGCTACAGTGGGAGAGTCCTCTGAGCTCAGGGCTATAAAATCTAACAAAAACCATTGCCCTTCTTGTGACACCATGGAATAAGAGTAGGCAGGAACACTTTAAGGAGCCTCTGCTTCACTTCTCTTGCTGTCTGCATGAGGCCCTGGGAGGTTAAGCAGCTTGCCCAAAGTTGTTAGCTGATCAGTGGTCAGTGGTGCATCAAGGCATGAACATGGGTTTCCCAAATCTGGTGCTGAATCCCTCATAAGGAGCCAATAGTTATATTAGGAGGCAAGATTATCACTGGAAACAATCAGAACACTACAAGATCATATATACCAAAGTAATGATGGATGTATCTTTATCAGTTGCCCAAAATACATGGTCTAAGTAGTAGGTCAGTCCATCTCATTGAGGGTCTACCCTTTTTCTCTGACCCTCTACCAAGCACTGATCCTTCCTGATAATATGACCAAAGTATGAGAGACAAACTCTGGCCATTCTTGCTTTTAAGAGATGGATTGACACAGTGGCTGCAGAAATGAGCTCCAACACAGCATGGGATGTGAAGAGATGCAGGACCAGGCAGTGTTTCGTTCTGTTGTACATAAGGTCACTGTGAGTCAAAACCAACTCAATGGCACCTAACAACAAGATCAACAAGTAGTAGGTAAAATTTATAGAATGATCAAATGCTACAGTTTCTTTCATCTATGAAGTGAGTTAAAGGGACATCACTCACAAGGTTATACATGAATTATGTATGAAGTTATATCACCTCATGTACTCAGTTCAAAAAGCTTAAGTGTACAAGAGGAATACAGCCGTATCTCATTTTATTGCACTTTGCAGATACTACTTTTTTACTAATTTAAAGTTTGTGGCAACCCTGCATTGAACAAGTCTGTTGGCACCATTTCTTCAGCAGCACACACTCACTTTGAGTCTCTGTGTCACATTCTGGTAATTCTCACAATATTTCAAACTTTTTCATAATGCTATTGCACACTCTTAATAGACTACAGGATAGTGTAAACATAACTTTTATATGTATTGGGAAACCAAAAAAATTCATGCAAATTGTTTTATTGCAATAGTCTGGAACCACACTCGCAATACCTCTGAGGTATTCCTGAATATAAAAAAAGGCTGACAATGGCAAAAATAGCTTCTTAAGATCCTTAAATCTGTCATATATTCTGTGGCCATGAATCCCCTCTTTTATTAGGCAAAGCGATAATTACTATTGCTGTCTGTTTATTTCACATGTGGGTTGGGTAACTAAAATCTTTTCAGTAGTTTTGTGGCCATCTCACTCTCCCTCCTGACAGCAGCAGTATCCTCATGTAAAGATATTTAATCCAAGGACAGGTGTTCTTTTTCAGCCTCAGTTGTCCCACGTTCCACTCCCAATAGCAAAGAAATTCCCTGACTGTAAACATCACTTCTTTAACTCTTCATGACCTAATTGGTAGTTAGAATATGTACTAAGAAGGCTATAAGATGCCTTTCTTGCCCTGTTTGCCAAAAAGAAGATAATAGTGACAGATTCTTACCTATCCTCATCGGGATTCTGATATTGGTTAGCAGTCAAATGCCTCAGGCACTACACCACCAGAGCTCCCATTTTATATATAGTCTGTTAAAATCAAACAGATAAAAGTTTTTCTATAAAACTGGGTAATTATTTCCAAGGTAACTATTCAGAAACTATCCACCAATGATGCCAAATTAGATCACAGACAAGGAGCCTACACCTGCATGCTCCTTTCCTTAAGAGGAACAGTCCTGTGTTTCCCTCTGCCTGGTCTTGGGAGGCACCTGCTGCAGTCACTCACACTCCAGCTCATAGACTCCATCTCTTTGGCCTCTTTTCTCCCTCCATCTTCCTTCAGCTTGTTGCCATGGGTGCTATTGTTGCATCACACGTATTCATATTTCTTGAGTATGTTTGTCATTTGGGTCCCTGAGAAGTATACCAAATCTGCCATTGAATCAATTCCAACTCATAGCAACACTATAGGACAGAGTAGAACTGCCCCAAAGGATTTCCAAGGCTATAAATCTTTATGGAAGCAGACTACTTCATTTTTCTCTCATGAAGCAGCTGGTGGGCTTGAACCACCAACCTTTTGGTTTGCACCCAAAAGGTTTAAACACGGCACCACAGAGCTCCTTGAAAAGTGTACAATACAATCTGCTTTGGTTTGCTGCACCAATTAACTCTGCTAACATACATGTGTCCTCTGTCTCAGTACATTTCCTCCCAAATTTAGAAACTCTCAATTGCTTGATAATGATAAGTAGCAAGGTACAACTAAACCTGGTTCTAAATTCTAGCCTATACCACTGATTTCCCTATAGCAGAGTTCAAGAACTTGGGGCATTTTTGTTTTGTTTAGTTTCACATATTTCTGGAGTTTGAAAAAGGTCATAGCCAGAATGTCTATAAATGTTTACATTATAAAGATGGTTGGACGAATGGATAGATAAAACATTTTGCGTTTCTCCTGCCAGCAAATCTCTGTGGTCTCTTTATCAAAGCAAGTCTAGTATAGATTTTGTCTTTGCTTTCCTTAAAATCAGCATTAGAATGAGTGGTACGTAATGGGCAGACTACAAGCATAAGGAAAGGGAATGGAAGAGGAGCCTACCAGATAAGTTTATGAAAAACATATGTAATTATTTGGGCAGAACTTGATAAGGATCCTGAGAATGGTGAGCTGAGACCATCTGAAACTTGAAAATATAATAAAATAGCAGATATTTGAGGACAGTAGAAATCACCAAAATAGCAACTATTTGTAATTTTTATCATGCATAATCCTTATTTTCCTGAA